CTCTGTCTTGTCGACTCCGTGCCTCTCCCCCTTTCCCCGCTCGCCCCCGTCATCCCACTCTCCCATTGCCTTGCGGAAGAGACCACTGGAGAGGAGGCATGTTGCCAAACAATTCCCGGGTGTCTGCGCATGTCTAAATCATACTTATAACATTCCAGTATTTCCAGCACGTGTTTTACACATGTAGAAAACAATGTAAGAGCATGCTTTGTTTGTTTTTCTGTTCCGGACCCCTGCGCCTTGCTCTCCGTCCCGTCAACCAACCCAGGCGGGTGGTGATGGGGGGTGACCTTAATGGGGGGTGAAGAAAAAAGCGCCTTTGGTGCACCGTTCTGCCCCCCCTTGTAGGCCCCCGCCCCCTTAACACCCGCACGAAACCACCCCCCTCCTCCCCCACCTTTTTTTGTCCATATGTTGTGTGTGTGTGTGAGTGTGTGAGTGCGTCGGGAAGCGTGTCGCAGAAAAAATGAAAGTAGTCACCGTGTCAACGCAGGCTCTTATCCGTAAGGGCTTCGCCCCCTGCCGCAGGCCCCCTCTCTCGGATAATGGGCAATGCAAGAGCGAAATCATGAGGCCTTGGCGCCGCCGTGAAGCAGCATCGGCAAGAGAAATTGGCATTCCGATGATATTGTTGAACTCAGTGTTTCGGAGACGCGAATATTCTGTAAATTATGATGGTGTGTGGTGTCCTGGCCGAGATTATAGCGTAGTTTGCGAGGGTTTATAGCTTCGGGGGCGCCAATCTAGTGTAATTGCAACGTAGTGCACAAGGGTTGATGGTTTCGGGGGCGCAAGCATTGCGTAATGTACGAAGGTTTATGGCTTCGGATACGCGAGTAGCGCGTAATGTACGAGGGTTTGTGGCTTCGGGTTCGCAACAATAATGCAATTTACGCAGGTTTATGGCTTCGGAGCACGAATAGTAAGTAATTTGTGAATGTTTATGGTTTCGGACACGCAATTATTGTATAATTTAGAAGAGTTTATGGTTTTGGGGTCGCAGATATTGCGTCATTTACGCAGATGTATGGATTCGGAGACGCGAGTCTGGCGTAATTTACAAGGGTTCATGGCTTCGGGGACGTGAATATCGTGTGATTTATAAGCGGTTGTGGCCTCGGGGGCACGAATATACTGTATTTTGCGATGGTTTAAGGTTTCGGGGATGCGAATATTGTGCAATTCGCGAGGGTTGATGGCTTCGGGGGCGCGAGTCTTGCGCAATTTACGAGGGTGTATGGCCTCGGGGGCGCAAATTTGATATATTTTTATGTGTCCCACGCCCCCCCAGAAATTTTGAGAACTCTCCCAGGAGACGCTAGGTTTGCCAGTTTTCGGCTCCCCCCCCTCGCGCGGTCCATCAACAGGGAGCAGTAAGCAGCAGAAAGCAATATTGTAACAGTGGAAACTGGAAACTGGAAACTGGCGCAGGGAACAGCAAACCCTCGCCCTACAGCCTGGTGGCCCCACAAGGGGGCCGGCGGATATCACATGCTCGGCAGGCCAGTTTTCAGCCACGCGCAGGGGGGGGGGGAGGGGGGAGGGCTTCTTAGAAGCACCCCCGCTTAGAAAGCGCAGGCCCTATCTATGGATGTAAGGCCGGCGCCTTCTGAGAACCTTCTAAGAAGCCCTCCCCCCGCCCTCCACCCCTTTGTGCGCGCCGCCAAAGTTTCCCATGAGCCTTAAGTCGGGCCTGTCCCTCTACAGGAGGAATATTCAAAAATAGTAAAAAATTGTCAGGGGATGATTTTTCTAGTATTTTTGAGTCTTTTTTGCTGTTCGTCGAAAATCGGCCTGTAGGGGGACATGCCCGACCTAACATTAGCCTTTTGCGCAAAGCTGGTCCCCGCTTCGGAGGTGTCCTGGCGCGCCTCTGCGTGCGCAGGCGTCGCGCCAGAGCGTCCATTTTGCCTCTCGGCTTTTCCGGTTCCGGCGAACCTGCGCAGCAGTCCTTTCGGCGCGCGCATGTGCACAAGGGGTCATTATCCCTGGCAGGGACTCGTTCGTCCACCAATTGGGGTGAAGAAACCCCTGTCGATCAATTACACAGCACGGCACTTGCAATCGGCACTTGCAATATGTAACCTATTGTTGGTTTGGTTGTGTGGTTCTCTCTTATTGTTTTTGTTCTTCTTCTTCTTCTTCTTCTTCTTCTCTCTCTCTCTCGTTCTCTCTTTCTCTTTCTCTTTTCTTATTATCCCTCTCTCTCCTTTTCTCTCTCTCGCTCTCTCTCTCTCTCTCTGTCTCTCTCTCCCCCCCTTACTTGTACACAGCTGTAAAGGTCACCGTATACGCCTCGGGGAACGCAGCTGAAGGATGCGGAGGCCTAGTGGGGGTAGGGGTGCCCTGTCGCGGGCTCAGGGCGGAATGTTGGGAGCTCCGTCCCTCAGTAACAAATCCCACTCTGACGGGCACCCCTCCCTTTCTTTGTTTCACGGACTGAGTGTTCCTTTTCTTGATACGCAATGTGTATACATACTAGGCTGTTCTCTTTGTCTCTCCCTGTCTCTCTCTCTCTCTCTCTCTCTCTCCCACCCCCTCTCACAGGCCGCGTGCACGTGCTTCAGATCCCTGCGCGCGCGAAGGGCTTTGCGCCTCGCGCGGCGCGGCTCGACCCGGAGAGCGTGGAGGAGCACCAGGGGGGCGGCGCGCGTGGTTATTGCCAGGTCTTTGCAACGACTTTTGTTTGCTGGTAGCACATTTTAGATGCTCGGTCTGGGGACCTTCTGGCAGACGCGTAATGGATCTGCTCGACTCAAGTTCGGCTCAAGTCCGCCCCAGTTCGACTCCAGTTCGAGTCAAGGCCCTCCGGCGTTATCGCACCAGCACAATCATGTTTTGGTGTCACTGTCGTGCCCTCTCGCCCCCCCTTTCCTCCTTCTCCTCCCGCTCCGCCCTCGCCATAATGCGACACTATGGGAGCCTCGTCTGCCGTCTTAATTCCGTCCTTGGCGTCGAGTAGCGTTTGGTAGTCGATGAAATCAGCGCCGATTTGGCGTTGATTGGCGTCGGTGAGCGTCGGTGAGCGTCGGTGAGCGTCGATCACCGTCAACTTAGCGCCTATTAGCGTCGACCACCGTCGGCCACCGGGATGGTGGGGGGGGCCACCACGAGTTGTCGCCGAACACTTTGGAGGCTCAGGAGGGGCTCCCGTGTCCGGGCCGCTCCCTGGACCGAGGCAGGCAAGGCTGCGGCTCACCGCCCACCAAACCACCCCAACCCAACCCGGAGGCCTCAATTTGCCCTCCATTTCCAGTGGGGGGAGGGGGGGTCGGGGAACATTGAAATTATCCCAGTGCGACCCTACCTAGGAGTTGGAGCCCCTAGGAAAGCAGCATTAGTAGTAACAGTAAAGCTAAGCTAAAGCTAAGCTACAGCTAAGCTACAGCTAAGCTACAGCTAAGCTAAAGCTAAGCTAAAGTTAAGCTAAAGCTACGCTAAAGCTAAGCTAAAGCCGAGCAACAGCTAAGCTAAAGCTAAGCTACAGCTAAGCTACAGCTAAGCTAAAGCTAAGCTAAAGCTAAGCTAACGTTAAGCTAAAGCTAAGCTACAGCTAAGCTCAAGTTAAGCTAAAGCTAAGCTAAAGCTAAGCTAAACGCTAAGCGAAAAGCTAAGCGAAACGCTAAGCTAACGCTAAGCTACAGTTAAGCTAAAGCTAAGCTAAAGCTAAGCTAAAGCTAAAGCTAAAGCTAAACCTCCCAGGGGACTGGGGGGAACCGCGGGGCGGGGACTGGGGGAACCGCCCGGGGCGCTTTACACTGCCCGGCCCCTTTAAGCTAAGAGAGTAAGAACCCTTCTAGGCAGAGCCTAGGTAGGGAAAAACACATGGACTCCGTACCTCCCCACCCACCCGAAATTCGAGTCAAATTTGGGTCTTCGGGTTGGGTGGGGAGGTCTGGTAGGTAGTCAGTGGCTAGGAAGGCCCCATCGGCCGCAGACGTTTTCTGTTTTTGATTGTCTGTTTTTGTAGACTGTTTTCACACCGTGGACACACACTTCCAGGGCCGTTGTCTCGTCCTGGGTCGTTTCGTTGGGGCCCAGCGAAGGGCCCCCAGCGGCCGAAAGCAGTAAAACGGTGTCCGTCGTGGGTTTTTGTTCGGCGGCGAGCGAGGGGGGGGCGCGGGGAAGCGAGCAGGATGAGGCCTTTTCAGAAGGCGTCGGGGCTTCGCATAAGCCCTCCCGCCTTGTGAGGAGTTCTGTGCATCTTCGGGGAAGGCGCAGAAAATTGTTTGGAAGGCCGGAGAACCTTCCAGCCCGCCCCCTCTCAGTTCCCTTTTGGGCAGGCCGCCGATGTTTGTCACGACGCGAGGGGGTTCAGGTCCCTTACTCAGCGTTTCCTGTGGCTCGAGTAGGGGATCGACTCCAGAATGGATTTACTCCAGGGTCGATTGGTTTGTGAGTCGAATATACGAAAGATGCACATCATGTTCCGTAGGTCCACGAGCTTGTCACGTATGTTCGAAGATTCGGGGAAAAAAAGTTGGGGTAAATCAATGCTGTAGTCGATCCCCTTCTCGAGTGGTTCGAGCGATGGTCCTATGAGCCATAGGTCGTGGGCTCGAGCCCCACAGGGAATAGACTTTGCGCGCGGATGACCAGGGCTGTCTCTGCGCGCTGCCCCTGGGGGCCCCACCCAGTACAACGCTTCGTGGCCCCATAGGGAGCTCTACCGAAGCCCCCAGGGGGCCGCCCGCATGCGTCCCACGCACCCATTTTGGCATTTTCACCCATCCAGCACAGCGTTTCGTGGCCCCATAGGGAGCTCCACCGACGGCCCCAGTGCTACCGCCCGCATGCGTTCCCCCCCACCCAGCACAGCGCTTCGTGGCCCCATAGGGAGCTTCACCGGTAGGCAGCACGATGGCCGCGCTGCTCCTTGCTCCGCCGAGCCCCGCGCCCCGGAGCCCCCGGGCAGGCCCGGCGCCGCGGAGTCGCTGCGCGTCCGCGCGGCGATGCGCGCGGCCTGCGAGCTGGTCCGGCGGGGCCAGGTGGACTTGCTGATGCTTGAGGAGCCCTGCACGAGGGCGGGGCGGAGGAGGAGGAGGAGGAGGAGGAGGAGGCGGGAGAGGAGGGGCAGGAGGGGGAGGAGGGGGAGGGGGAAGAGGCGGAGGAGGAGGAGCGAGGAGGAGGAGGAGGAGAACTCCTAAAGGAAGGAAGAGGAGGAGTGAGGAGGAGGAGGAGGAGGAGGAGGAAGACGAAAAAGAAAAGAAACAAAAAAAAAGAAAAAAAAAAAAAACAAAAAAGAGGATGAGGAGGAGGTAGAAGGAGGCGGAGGAGGGAGGCGGAGGAGAGGAGGAAGGAGGAGGGGGAGGAGGAGCAGGAGGGAGAGGAAGGAGGGAGGGAGGGAGGAGAAGGAGGAGGAGGAGGAGGAGGAGAGAAGGAGGAGGAGGAGGAGGAGAGGAGGAGAGAGAGGAGAACAGGACGGGACGAGGAACGAGGACGAGGGAGGAACGAGGAGGCGGAAGGAGGAGGAGAGGAGGAGGAGACGAGGAGGAGGAGGAGAGGAGGAGGAGGAAGGAGGAGAGGAGGAGGAGGGGTGAGGGGGAGGAGGAGGAGGAGGAGGAGGAGGAGGAGAGGGGGGGGGGGGAGGAGGAGGCGTAGGAGGAGGAGGAGGAAAGGGAAGAGGAAGGAGGAGGAGGAGCAGAAGGAGCAGGAGGAGCAGGAGGAGCAGGCGGAGGAGGAGGAGCAGGAGGAGCAGGAGGAGCAGGAGGAGCAGGAGGGGCAGGCGGAGCAGGAGGAGGAGGAGGAGGAGGAGGAGGAGGAGGAGAAGGAGGAGGAGGAGGGGCGGTGGGTGGTGGGTGGTCACTGCATAGGGGAAACACGTCCCGAGCAGAGCAACACGCATCACGACCACGACGACGCCGACAACGACGACGAAGAATGCACAGACGATCCGCCCCGAAGCACTGATTAGGGACAGGGCCCACCCTGCGGGTTCGGTTCAACAGCGCATCGTTGAGTGGTGCTGCAGCCTTCGCTGAGCACAGCCCCCCCCCCAGAGCATGAGCCAGACATGCCTAGCTGGACTCTGGGCGCGTTTCGGGACAGCCACTGCTGCCGCCACCACTTCGTCAGGGCCACCGACTCGGATGGAAAGGGGAAAGGAAAGGAGGAGGAGGAGGAGGAGGAGGAGGAGGAGGAGGAGGAAGGAGGCAGAGGAGGAGGAGGAAGAGGAGGAGGAGGCAGAGGAGGAGGAGGAGGAGGCGGAGGGGAGAGTGGGATGTCGCAACTCCACCTTTCAAGCGTGTAAATCGAGGAAGAAACACCGGCACAAACATAATTTCTCGGAGATCCGCGCGGATGTCTTGGATCTTCGTCGCGCTCCACGCGCCAGGGAGTGGGATCCAGCACGGGTCCAAGAAATCCGTGTGGAGCTTCGAAGTTGTTATGTTTATGCTGTTGCTTTCTGCTTCTAGGAGTAGGGATAGGATGGCGCGGCTCTATTTCGAAGGACGTCGACGTCATGCGGGGGGAAGGGTGGGGCAAATAAGGAGGAGGAGGTGGAGGAGGAGGAAGAGGAGGAGGAGGAGGAGGAGGAGGAGGAGGAGGAGGAGGAGGAGGAGGAGGAGAGAGGATGGAGGGAAGTCGAGGAGAGGAGGGTGGACAGGAACGGGGAAGTAGGGAGATAGGAGAGACGAGGGACAGAGGAGGGAGGAGGACGTAAAGGGGAGCGAACAGGAGGAGGAGGGGGAGGAGAAAGAACATTTGCGGGATGGAGAAGGCGCAGGAGGAATAGCAGCTGCAGTATGGGCAGGAACAGATGCAGCAGCAGCAGGATCGCGGCAGTTCTCCTGGATGAGGAGGAGTCAGGAAGGAGGAGTCAGGAACGATGGGAGGTGTGAGGAGCGAGGGACGAGGAGGCAGGATGGAGGCAGGACGGATGATGAGGATGAAGATGAGGGGAGAGAGAGGGGGAGGAACGAGGGGATGATGCATGAGCGGTTGAGGGTTGCAGTCTCTTCGCCACCTGCGTGGCCCTCTTGTGCCCCCCGCCGGCACATGGTCACTGCCTCTGGACGGCTTCGTGCCGCTCACGCTGGCCTTGAGTGGCCCGCGGCTGTCACGCCGGCGCCCGCCTTTGGGCCTACGATCCCGAGGGGCCAGCTGAATTCCAGGGGCCAGAGGATCTCGCGAGGCGCGGGGGGGGGATAGAGGAGGAGGAGGAGGAGGAGGAGGAGGAGGAGGAGGAGGAGGAGGAGGAGGAGGTATGAGGTGGAGGTGGAGGAGGAGGAGGAGGAGGAGGAGGAGGAGAGGAGGAGGAGGAGGAGGAGGAGGAGGAGGAGGAGGAGGAGGACGAGGAGGACGAGGAGGACGAGGACGACGAGGAGGACGAGGATTATGCTGGATTATTCTGATCGAGCGAACACGATGCCCCATGGAATCGCGCCGCGGGTCATCCTGGCCGCATCGGGCCGTCCCCGAGCCGAGCCAGGATGCCGTGCCCTCTGAGGGCTAGCCTCAATGGGGCTTTCCTGTGGTGGCCTGCCAAAGTCTCTTAAGCCTACCCCCGATCACCCTTTGGGCCCCAGGGCAACATGGGGAAAATAGGCCCGACCACCTGTCGCGGGCGTACCTGGCACACCTACGACAGAAAACATACGATTGACGGAACACAAGCTTATGCCCCGCTCTTATAGCTTTGTCGACCCTGACAGCACCCCAGTCCAGGATGGCCCGCGGAGGAGGGGTGGCCGTCAGGGGTGGGAGGAGGCCCAGGGAGGTCCAGGAACTCCAAGCGGGGTCGGGGGTGTTCGAGTCCGTCGTTGGACTCGATCCCTTCTCAGTGTCGGCTATGTCACTGCCTAATACTCCTACACACGCTCCGAATTCGAGTATATCACGAACGAGCTTGAATCGATCAATATACGCTTCTCTACACCACGGGGGATGGGTATGGTACAACGGCACCTGCTTAGCGTATTGATATGCTATCTGATTGCCCTCCCACCTCGCACGGCCGATGTTCTCTCTCTTTCTCTCGGCCAGGCATGCACATTGTGGCTCAGTCCGCCGAGCTTGCTCAGAGCTCTGAATACGTCCCCCCAGAGGTCCAGGTGCAGGAGACCCTTTTTATCGAGCCTGCTGGGGCCCTCCAGGATACCGGTGATCACGTTCTGGCAGTCCGTGAAGATCCTCAGCGGGGGTGCTCCTTTCTTCAGCACTTGTAGCACTGCGTAGAATTCCCCCTGCAAGATATGATTGGTCCACTGTAGCCCAGGTAACGCCCCGTAGCACACGTACTCCATGTCGTAGCTGTCGTCTCGGAGCTTGGCGAAGCTCCAGCCCGCTCTACGCAGCGGGGGGTAGTCTCTGTACTGCAGGGAACCGTCCGTGTAGATGTCCCTTGCCGCCAGCCCTATCCAATCCCCCTCACGCAGGCACTCGTCACAGGACTCGATGCTCCACAGGCTCAGCTCCTCGGCTGGGTCCGCCGTGATGCCACGTCCCCATAGGCCTTCAGACGACCGTCCTCCTGGCCATGGACTGGCGCCTCTTGGCACGATGGGTCGCCCCCCCCCCCAACTTTGTCGCGTATGTGGTGTCTTGCGGGGCAGACGAATGTCCTGTGACGATCCGTCCCTTTCGCCACCCCGCAAGCCCTGCATGTGTCGTCTGCCGCCGCCCCCTCGTCGTGGAGGCGCGCTTGTGGCCACGTGCCTCCGCAGAATAGAACTCGCACTCTCGTGCGGCGTGCCTGCGTCCATCGTCCCTTCAGCGGCCGCTGCACTAGTGCCCGCACAGGCGCCAGGAACATGGATGTGATGCCGTACTCGCCATCATGCTCCTGTAGCCAATTGCCCTTGAGCTGCTGCTCCGTGGTGGTGACGACCAGGTAGTATAGCTCCTGCTGTCTTGTGTGCCGCAGGTCATAGTCTGCACTTCCAACTGTGATAGTGCATGCCAACTGCGTCATCCAGTCCGACCGCCGCACTGTAGCTATGAATGCTCCGGCTGGCCCCCGTACTGTGAGCCATGGTGACTTGCATAGTGCGAGCTTCATGGCCCGCGTTCTCCAGGCCATGTTAGCCTGCTCGCCAACTGCTCGTCGAGGGCCGCCTCCTGCCACGCCGTCGCCCACGCTGTTGATCAGGTTGACAAGGTCAACGCTGTTGCTCAGCGGCGTGAGTGGTGTGGACCGCCCCCGTGTGTTGCCCTGCATCGCCATTGCCACACTCGTCCTCAGCTCGTTCAGCTTGCTGTCCGCCATGCCGACCACTGAGGATCCGTAGAGTAGAGCTGGGACCCTGGCGTGCTTGACGATTTTGCGCGTTGCTCCTCCTGCTGACCTCACGGCTGCCACTTGTGAGGCCCTCGCTGCAAATGTGAGTGCTTTCTTGTTGATGGCGGTCGCCTTTCTTCTCCTGCCCGCTGCTGCCGTGACGCCCAGGTGCTTATCGTGTTTTGCGACCCGTGCCCCCAGTTGTCGGGAGTTGGCGGTCGGGCTGGTGCTCAGCTCGGTGGGCGAGGTCAGGGTGGCCATCTTGCCCCTTGAGCCGCGCGGCATTGCCATGTCGAGTCTGTCCTCGAACATGCCGATCACCGTCGCGATACGCAGCGGGTGGAAATGCTTCACGAACTCCCCCCAGTCCGTGCGCGGCCATGGCTAGGTCGTCGAAGAAGAGGCATGTGTCCGCCCACGGGGACTTGGGGGCAAGCTCGTCCAGCTCCAGGATGATCACCTTCTTGAGGCAGAATGGAGCACGCGTGCTCCCTGTCGATATGCCTCTCTGCCATGCATTGCCTTCGCCGTAGATGTCGTCCAGGGCGATGCGCCTCGCCATGCTGTCAATGCGCAGGACGACCCGCGCGACTATGAGGTTGAAGCCCCACCGCCTGGCCGCCTCCCACACCTTCCTGCGCGTGACCCATTCGAAACATTTGACCAGGTCGAAGTAGGTCAGCGCATACTCGTACCCTTCTGCCCACGCTGATTCACACTACAGCGCCTGCAGCCAGGCAGCCCGTTCTGATGACCGCTCTTGTCTCGCCCAGTCGTAAGCTCTGTGGT